ATTTTACTCATCTGTGTTTTGTGTTTTAAGTTGCCAAATCAAAACCTTTTGATTTACCACAGGCGATAGTTTTTGTCAAGTATATAAGTATAAATGGGTTTTTAGGCATGCCATTTATTGACTAGATGGAAAGAAATCACAGGGCTTCATATGTAAACTTAGGTAGTTATACAGTTATTAAAGTCAACCTCAGTGTTGTGGTTTTAAAGTTCATGGAATTTTGTTGTAAAGTTGGTGTTCTTAGTACTTCGAGTGTATCTAAAGAGTGTACACTTAAAACGTTGATGAAGCTTATGCAGTAGTTAGGGATGGATCAGATGAGCCTTGTAATATCCCTTAGCTATAGACAGAATATACAGCACAGGATGTTCAGACACTTTGTATCCAGTAATGCAGACGAGGATCATTCAGTTCATTTATAACTCTTGCAAAAAAGAAAGAGTTCTGCATGCACTGAGCACTTAAAGTTACTACATGGTTTCATCCCCTCCCTTAGTTAGAGCTGCAAGATCCAGATCTGACCCATTCTTCTTCTTCTTCTTTACAACTGTGCGAGGTACACACCTTACCTTCCCGAGGAGGTACATTTTTGTGGCATTTGTCTTAACAACCTTTTCAATTACGTTATTCGTCCTTGATGTCTCATTGTTATGTTATCATTTTGTGTTTCATATCATCTGTTTGCGTACTTTGAAGTGCATGAACTGGAGCAGTAAATTGTGTTCCTTAGGCGTTTCCTTGGACCAGTGGCGTCACAACATCCGATTACACCTAAATACCCCTTAATACAAATACATTTGAAGTGAACATTGTATTGATTAATATCACGTCAGTAAACATACACCCCTGGTAGGTGTTATTTCCGTGGGCACATGAACGCCTCACAGGCAGTGAGATATTTCAGAGAAATGACGTGTTGCTGTTGAATACTTTCACTTCCCCTGTCACTGAGTCCGTTCTTACACTGAGTCTGTGCTGGGGACCACGTTCTCTCTGCTCCAGGTGAAGATCAAATGAGTAGTGGTCGAATACGGCTTTTATTTTGAAGAGCTGTGTCATCAGATCTGTGCTGTGGACGCGTCATGTAGGATCCAGGTTTCATTCTACTCAAGTACAGTTAGTCTGTCTTCTCTGAGCCTCCCAGCAACAAACACACCCAGTCAGCTGGTGTTACTGTTACTATTGAGTCAGCAGAAAAACGTATCTATAGTTGAACTCTCATTCTTTTTAACAGAATTGTGGGTCATTCTTTGTTAGTGTCTGTTTTTCTATCCCTAGCTTATGGAGAAGTCTTGAAAAACTTGTAATCTTAATGCAGAGGCTGTATCTTTAAATGTGTCTTGATCTGACACGTCTATCTGTGATTCATTTATCAGCAGCATGTGTGTGTATTTGTTTATGTTAAAATGGAGTATAGATTTTAAAAGCTCCTTCATCATGTGTTCTCCCACAGAAGTGACTGTTCTGCAGTAAATATGGATCAGCGAGAAGAAGCCAGATGCCGAAAGATCCTCACCCACCACAGAGAGCTGCTGGTGTCGAGCCTGAGGAGCATCCAGTGCATCCTGGACAACCTGCTGGCTTGTGGCTTCCTCTGTGAAGAAGATGTTGAGATCGTGCAACAAACTGTGACCAAAACAGATCAGGTAGGAAAACCAGAGAGACCTGTTTACCAAGGCCATGTCTGACTGTATCATATTTGTATTTGATGTTATCTTTTGTTGTTGTTACCTATTGTGATTATTTTCTAGGTGCGCACAATCTTGGAGCTAGTCCAGTGCAAAGGGGAGGAGGCCTGCGAATACTTTCTTTTCATCATATACAAAGTGTGTGATGCATACATAGACCTGCAGCCATGGCTGAAAGAGATCAACTTCAACCCGAGCAGTGACATAATACTGATGACAGTGGTGAACACAGATCCCAGTAAGTCTTACAACCTAGTGCTCTGTTCCACCGACATGTTCTTCTCTATGCTCTGTGTTTGTGCCATAAAAATGTCTGATGCCAAGATGTTAGACAGGTATTAACAGTTAAACCAGAGTGTTTGTGAGAATTATTTCTTTTATTCTGAGTCCCCATTTAAAATAAGCCTAAAAATCAAGGATCAGGCTACAAATGCAGAATATTTAATTATATTAAAAATACATAGTGTATATTGATTGTGATTACCAATGTTTAAGAATAATTTGTATTCATACTTGTATGGGTGAAACTTCAAGAGTCAGACAGTTCATGTCTATGTCATTCCAATTAAAAAATATGGAACACACACATTTCCAAAAAAGTGGCATCCTGTCACCGAAGCTACATTTTATCTTTTATGCTTGATTTATAAACATTAAACTATGCATCACTGGACCTTACTCTGGATATTCTAACAGCATATATATATATATATATATATATATATATAACATATATATCACATGTTTCTTTTTTTTAAGTCAGCAGGTATAGCGCAAAGTTGAGGCATGAAATGAGCCGGGACACCTGCTTCATCATGTCATACGGCCAGCAAGAGGAGACCCGTCTGGAGGAACTCTACACCGACTCTTTGATGGAACTGCTGAATGAATGCAATGAAAGTCTGGGCTTCGTGGAGAGTCTGGACCAGCTCCTCGGAGACCACGCCGTCTTCAATCCGCAAGGTGAAATCATCTATGTGATGGGGGACGCTGGAGTGGGAAAATCCATCCTCCTTCAGAAGCTCCAGAACCTCTGGTCCAAGAAAGAGCTGCAGACAGATGCCATCTTCTTCTTTAAGTTCCGCTGTAGGATGTTCAGCATTTTTAAAGAAACAGAACAGATCTCCCTCAGAGAACTTTTGTTCAAATACAACTGTCATCCAGATCTGGATCCAGATAATGAGGTGTTTGAATACATCCTGCGCTTCCCTGAAAAAGTTCTTTTCACATTTGATGGCTACGATGAGATTCAGGATAATCTGGACCTGACGAATGTCCCTGAAGTGGTGTCGCCAGAGGACAAGGCACATCCCCTCCAGCTTCTGATCAGCTTGCTCTCCGGGAAACTGCTTAAGAACTCCCAGAAGATGCTGACTGCTCGGAAAGGGATTGAGCTCCAGAGCAGGGTGATCAGAAAAAAGGTGATTCTACGGGGGTTCTCTCCAACTCATCTGAAGTCCTACATTAATTTGAACTTTAAGGAGCAGGAACACAGAAATAAGGTGTCAGTTCAGCTGGATGCTAGCCCCCACCTCTGTGGCCTGTGCTCCACTCCGCTATTCTGCTGGATTCTATTCAAGAGCTTTAGCTACCTGCACACAGTGCATGATCTTTTTCATCTGCCTGACTCCTGCATCACGCTCACCGACATCTTTCTTCTGCTGTCTGAGGTGTTCTTCAGCCGCTTAACTTCATCCGCTCCATCTCTGCTGAAGAAAAGCAGCTGGTGTGCCTCAGAGACATTCAAAGCAGGGCTTACATCCCTTGCTGCATTTGCCAAGCTGGCACTTCAGGGTATGGAGAGAGGAAGCTTCATTTGTAACCAAGAGGAGATTGCTGCGTGCGGTCTCAGAGAGGAGGACCTGCCCCTGGGCTTCCTCCGACCTGTCAGTGACTGTGAAGCCAACGGAAGCCCTGCTAACTTTGAATTCCTCCACATCACCCTCCAGTCTTTTTTGGCGGCATTTGCGCTTGTGTTGGACGAGCAGGCTGCTGCAGACTCCATTCTCAAGTTCTTCACAGAGTGCAGCAGGAAGAGGGAACCATCCTGTCTGCTGTTCAAATTATGTATCACTGGCTCCTCGAAACAGAGCCAAGAGAAACCATTTGAAACCAATGATCACCTTCAGTTCACAAATCTCTTCTTGTGTGGACTGCTCTCTAAGGCTCACACTGGCCTGATGGAGCATCTGGTATCTCCTAGGCTACTCAAGAAAAAAAGGGCCGTGCTTAAATCTTACCTTTCCACTGGCGTTAAGTTCCACCTCCGGGGTTTACCCCACTACAAAGTCGATGAAGGCAAGAAAATCCACGTTATGCCCAACTTTCTGTGGATGCTGAGGTGCATCTTTGAGACGGGGAACAAACACATCGCTCAGATGACAGCGAAAGGCATCACAGCGAGTTTGATCAAGCTGGGTTACTGCAACATCTACTCGGGTGACTGCGCCGCCCTCAACTTCGTCCTGCAACACCGTCAGAGGCTCCTGGGCGTTGACATGGATAACAACAACATCAGTGACTATGGGGTGAAGCAGCTGAGGCCTTCGTTTTGTAAGATGACAGTTGTGAGGTAAGAACCTTCTGATCTCCACTGTGGGATATTCTGACTGATTCTTTAATGCACAGGATGTAACTTGTAGCACTAACTCAACTGATTGTCTCTAGATTATGCGTCAATCAACTGTCAGACAGCAGCATTGAGGTTCTTGCAGAGGAGCTGTGCAAGCACAAGGTTGTGGAGGTCTTGGGGTAAGTTGACATCAACTGTTCTGGTGTATTTCAACTTTAAACTGCAATGGCCACTGTACGTTTTGGATTCTGCATTCTGTTTGGTTGAAGGCACAAAGGTTACTTTGTTGTTACCAGGCAGGAGCATCACTCACTAAATAGAAATATGAAACAATTAGATATGAAACAATTAGCCTTACCCTGAAACCCTAGTTTGTCTCCCATGTAACATAATTATTCTGTTGAATAGTTGAAAGTTTGCTAACAAATGAAAGTAGGATACAGCCCCAACGTTAATTCTCGATACTCCATGAACTAAAATACTGCTATATGTTTTTTTTCTCAGAATGAATCTGAACTTTGACTTTAATTTCTCTTTGTCCTCAGACTTTACAATAATCACATCACAGATGTTGGAGCCAAGCTGGTTGCTCAGATAATTGAGGAATGTCCAAAGTTGCGTGTTGTTAAGTACGTGTTGTACCAAGAAATTCTAATGCAATACTATTTATGTAATATCTTGTGTCTTTATACCTGCTTAATGGATGCTGTCTCCACCATGTCCTCAGGATCGGTAAAAACAAGATCACTAGTGTTGGTGGGAGATATCTGGCCAGTGCAATTCAGAAGAGCTCCTCAATATTTGATGTTGGGTAAGACCTCACCTCTGTTAAACATCTCTGTACAGAGGTGGCTTTAAACAAATGGCTAATGATTGACAAAATAGACTGACCAGCTAAATGGTTTGTATTTATTGATGACCACTCAAAGCTTGCATGCCAAGTGGTGGTAGAGGTAGACAGGGATCAAACCGCTGACCTTCAGGTTAGTGAACGACCCGCTCAGTCTCCTGAGACCCAGCTGCAGCTTTCTTCATCAAAGTGTTGAGATGAGAAAGAAAAAGCACATAATTTGTAGTCAACTTTATAAAACATCTCTTAAATGACAAATATTCCCAACATATAATCTGATGGAGGATGTTTAAAAAGGGGGTTTAACAGGGTGTCAGCAAGAACCAAAAAAACCTGGTGAATTAACCCCAGTACCTCTGAGACGACCCACTGGACTTGTTTAATCTTGGTTGACAAGTCCCGGTCTCTCTCGCCTCTCTCTCTCCCCCTCGACCCCTTCCCACTATCACTCTCTCTTCTCTTCCCTCTTTTCCACCCATCTCTCCTCTCTTCCTTTTTTTTTTGCTCTACCCAACTGTTCGAGGCAGATGACCGCCCACATTGAGCCTGGTTCTGCTAGAGGTTTCTCCTTGTTAATGAGGGGGTTTTTCCTCTCCACAGTCACCAAAGTGCTGCTCATTTTGGGAACTGTTGTTTTTTTTTACATTAATAAGATTTGAAGGTCTTGACCTTCTATATAAAGTGCCTCGAGATAATTTATATTATGATTTGGCGCCATAACTATAAAAATTAAATTGAAATTGTGTGCTTTCTAAGAAAACCTGCCAGATTATTTTCCTATTGAAAAGAAGGAAAAGTGACAGACAAGGCAGGAAGCTGTTGTGTTTGTCTGCACACTGATGCTTCTCAGATGAAGGTTTTTATCTTCATTTTCAGGATGTGGGGGAATAGCATCGGAGATGAAGGGGCAGAGGCATTCGCAGAAGCTTTGAGGAACCACCCAAAGCTTACCAACCTCAGGTAAGAGGGTGACTACCATTAATAAAAAACCCTACTGATTTCCACTCATAGTTTAAACTAATGGATTATCTGTGTTTTAGTCTCTCAGCTAATGGCATCACATCAAAAGGTGGAAAGCTTCTGTCGGAGGCTCTAAAAGAGAACAGCACCCTCAGGATATTCTGGTAAACACAACACTCACTCAGAGCTGCATGTTGTTCGCTGTTCTGACTGAAGCACGAAGAACAACATGTCTGTGTTGCTGCAGGTTGGTGCAGAACGAGTTGACTGACGATGCAGCTCCACACTTTGCCGAGTTGGTTAAAGTGAACACAGGTTTAACACACCTCTGGTACGGAACACACACACATTCTGTATTTAAGGATCTTTGATGCTGCTGCTCTGCTCAGACAGTGATTATTGGATCTCTGTGTTTGTGTGTGTGCAGGTTAATCAACAACCAGTTCAGTGTGCATGGGATCAAACACCTTGCTGAGGCCCTCACTCACAACTCGGCGCTCAAAGAGATATGGTGAGGTTACAACAGTTACACAGCATGGTGACTTCAGAGCAGCTTCAGTTTCTCCACCAACACACTGCACACCACACTCACCTCCATCTGTGCTGACACTGAAGTTTTATCTGCCAAAGTGATGATGAAATAACCTCATTTTAGAAAATCCTCACATTCAATAATTCTACTGAGGCAGCCTCTATATTCAACTTATCATTAGTGTAGGTGCAAGTTAATTATTAGGGTATGTATTTTAAAGAAATCAGAAACCCTCACCATTGTTGTGTAGTTATCCCCACCCGGTGGACTGGAGTGGAACCACTTTGTTTGTTTGACCAGCAAGACCATTTGCCTAAATCTCCTCTTGTCTGTAAAACACAGCAAAAAAGCTGGTGAACAACATTGTGCACAAACCTTTTAGTTCATCTAAAAGGTTCCTGGGACTAAAAGGTACTTTGGTCAAAACATGGCTATTGCTTTATTTTCAGCCCCAACAGCTGTTTTCAGCAGACAAGTTGTTTAAAGCCACTGTGCTCAACCTGCGTAGCAGCAAACAGCAGTCAGACAACATTAGAGAACAGCTGGAGACATGGTGAAGCCAACATTCATCAGGTGGACACAAACCTTAATATTGCTGGATGTGTTAATAATAAGGCGATAATATGTCAGTGAAGCGTTCACAACCAACTGACCGAAACAACCAAAAACTAAATATATATGTAAGAGAACTGAAGTAGTGCTCTGCTACACCAGTGTGTCTGGGTTTGCACAGTCAACAGTTAATGTTCAACCCCAGACTGAATTAAACAAATGAAAAGAGCAGAGCTCAGGGTCAGTGAGAACTTTGCTGAGCAGCTCTCAACAGTGGGTTTTGAAAGAAGTGACAGAGCTGCAGGTCTTTATACCATCAGTGCCCAAATGCATGTGGTGAAATTCTAATTTACTGAGCGAGTATAGACAAAGTCACTTAATTTCACGTCATTTCAAACTTGACAAAAACTAGCAAATAATTTCAAACTCTCAAAGCTCTGTAAATTGTATTTCTTCAGAACTTTACGGTGGATTTTTGTCCATTTAAAAAAAAAAAATGTATTTGTAAAAGGACTAGAAGTACCATGGTGTATTATAAAAGTATTACGGTTGTTTCAGCAGCCTGACTCCAACATAAACTACAAGAAGAAGAATGAGAAAGGATCACAGTATCTTGGCAGCATCTAGAAAGAAAGTCTGTCTGATACGCCTAAAATTTGAAAACGTTAGCTAAAAACCTGATAGGTTTTTAGCAGATATTTTACACGTGTCTTAAGATCCTGCAAATTGGGATTCTGCATCGCGTCAAGATATTTTAAATCAGTAACCTTATCAATCCTTTAACCTTTTATAAGAACACAGAAAGGTTGTGTCATGGTTATAAAGATAAAATAACTTTTCTCTTGTTAATATTTAAACTCAGGCATGACTCAAGCCATTGCATTATCCTGGCAAATGCATTTGCTTTAATGTAATGCTCTAATGTACTTTAGTGATTATGATGGGACACTGGGAGGCTTAGTGTCTCCCTGTGTGCTCATGAATGTGTCTGTGAACGATAGTCTGACTGTTTCCTCTCATGTTCCTGCAGTGTTAAAGGAAACCAGCTCTCTGAAGAGGAAGAGAAAGAGTTTATGGCAGAGAAGAGGCTGCTCTTCCACTGAGCAGCCAATCATGTGACACGTGCACATGTTGAGTAATCTATGTATGGGAGTGAAGATGTTGCGTTTCCGCTGTGTGCATGCACAGTATTAGTATTAGTAAACTGATCAGGTATGGTGTTATACTTAATGCTTTCACCTGGCTATGGGCACAATGTTACATTATTTACTTAAAGGTACAGTGTGTAGAATTTAGTGACATGTTGTAGCTGAACACCCCTCACCTCACCCTTGTCTTCCAAACGTGAAAAAGAAACTGTGGAAGCTTCATTTGTCATAAAAACTCAAAAGGTGTTTAGTTTGTCCAGTCTGGAGTCACTAATGTAAAAAACATGGCGGCCTCCGTAGAGAGGGTCCTCTCGATGTAAATATAAAGTATTTCAATATAAAGGGCCTGTAATAGGGTCAGGAAAATTACAATTCATACAATTTTGATGTAAAACATGAGGGTTATTTTATATTCAATTTGCGCCAATAGATCCCTTTCACCTAAATATTAAATGGAAATTTCATACCATTGTTGTTGATGAATCCTAAAGGAAACTTTGCAGATCAAATAGAGGATGTTGAAAAAAGGGAAGTGGCATTTCTGGTTAAGAGGAAGAAACCAAACGGATTACTTCTTTCTTCATGAGCTGATTTAAGAATATGTGTGAATATTTGCTATAAACAGAAACGATCATTATTTATCTGACTGTTACACAATGTGATGTACTACATATACACAGCTGGTGGAATGTTTGAATGTGTACCTCAGTAAAGACATTGATATGTTAACTGTTTGTGTGATATATAGTTTTTATATATGTATGGCTTTTATAAACTTGATGACCACTCACAGTGCAGAACTTTTCTATCACACATCACTCACACTGCCGACACAGACATGAGGGGCAATTTGGGGTTCAGTGTCCTGCACAACAACACTTGGGGCGTGTGGAATGGGGCAGACGAAGATCATACTGTCGGCCATTTGTTGGACTCATCATTATACTTTGAATTGCATTCATATTTCTCAATATTTTTGATATTCCTTAAACTAAAGTATTGCCTGTTTCTAATTACTTGTTGATGCCTTTTTTATTCTTGTTGCTGTAATACTGCAAATGTCCCCATTGTGGGACTAATAAAGATAATGTTATCTTACCCATGTCCTGGATGTAGGCTGGGCCCGATCCATTCCTAGCACAAGCAATATTTTCACTGGTCGGGCGTCATTACTAAAATGTGTCATGAATATGTAAATGTTGGCCATGACAGGGAGCCAGCATGGCAATAGCAGAGCATGAGACTGATGGACACAGGAAACAACAAGGTAAAAATATTACCAGCCCCACTGTCACAGAACTTATATCTGAATGTCAGTGAAAAGGGCCTGTTATTCTGTTTCACTCCCTTTGCTTCTGATATATTTTGCTTCTGATATATATATATATATATATATATATATATATATATATATATATATATGAGCGCAAGTCAAATGAACTGAGCTCCACTTCAGACAGATTTGTATGTGGAAAAATAAAACACTCTTCAGACTGATTGAACTTTTTACTTAAAAAATTCAGATTAGCTTCAAACACAAAGAAACATGGGAAAAAAATGCTGTAACTAAAACAGAATTATTGGTATACAAATGATTCACTCTTCATTGCTTTTTGTACATAGTTTTACATAAAATAAATATTTGAATACATTTTACGTTGTGATTATGTGTTTGTTACATATTGAACAGAACACATTCTCTGTTACATTATACAAGGTAATGCTTGTTGGGGCTCAGAACTGGCAAAAAAAATTTAATTAAATGGTAAAAAAGTGCTTGAATGATTCTAGAGTTTCTCATACGAGGCTTGTTTTAGGACAGTGCTTCAGCTCGATACACAGTTCTCCCAGTGCAGGTCAAAGACCTTCCCAATCCCTAACAAACTTCAGTACACCACTGTTTGTTGGAACTCACTGTGCAATCTCACAAACACCGATATCTCCATAAAAAAGTTCCTACACCGTAGAATTCAAGCCGATCATTTGTTGAATTTAACACTGGCCTTGTCCTCTGTAACTCTTCATTTGAATCTTCAGCTAAAGGGTTCAGTCTCTGCACTTTGGATGAGGGGTGACTCATTACACTATTTCAGGCAGAAAGTTAAGATCAATATAAAAAATATGAGCACAGATAAATTAATGTCATCATTTTTATTAAGGCCAGATCTGTCTCACTTTCCCTCTAACTTTCAAAACAGCGACAAAAGGACTTAAACGAGAACATGATGATGCTGCAGGTCCAGTACGAGCCCTGTGACGTGTCCTTGCTTCCACCTCCATACACTACTTGACTCTGGAGCAGATTCTGTAGACAGGGTAATACAGGGCTCAGCTAATCTCTGCGTGTGATGTGATGGAGCAGTAATTATGAGTCCTGAGTGTGGATCCCAAAACTCCAAACTCAACACTTTCCTCCATTGTTTTCTCCCGTCACCCAGCAGGCTCCTTCTCTCTTATCCAAGGGCAAGACACATCAAACAAAGATAAAAATGTTTCAAGTATTACTATACACAGGATGTAATTCTTTAAAAGGATACTCCAGTAATTTAGGATTGCACTCCCACCAAACACAGGAAAAAGAATGGTGAAAAAGAAATGGTCCTTTCAGCCCCCAGTCACCCTGGATACAAAACTTCCCATAATACAACTTACTCTTATTGTTTACTACTGAAAGATAGCAGTGAGAAAGATTTTCATATTTACAATAAGCAAACATTCCGGCTGTCTGACAAATAGAGATGTTGTTTGACTGTAATGCTGCAATGTATAAAAAAATATTAAATACAACAACAGGTCCATAACATTAGAGACTCTTCTGTATTGTTTCGTGCCAGGTCAGATGTATGAGAGAGGAGCTTCAGAGACTTACAACGACGCTAATGGCTAAAATGTCTAACTCAGCAGTCTGAGTTAGACATTTTAATCTCAGATCAACTAAAATATGACAATATAATGGCCAATACGAACAGAGGGAATAATTACAGCTACTAAAAACCTTTTTATTGTATATATATATATATATATATGTATGAAGTCCAGGCTCCATAGGCTTTCTGTGAAATGTGGTATTATTCAATCCATTGTTGTGTGGGGATTTACAAAGAGAACCAAACTACATACCCTCCTCAACCACTGTCTGGCCCACAACCACCAACTCAATGAGCTGTTCACTGCACCGCCAAGGAAAACTGAAACTACCACAACAAACTCTCCTTCCCCCTCATGATGCTGGACTGCCTGTTCTCCCTGTGCTGGAAGAAGAAGTATGACAATTATTTCTTCAAAATGAAACTTAATAGCCTCAATCTTTTCTTTGGAAAGTGTTTTTCAGTTTGTGGTTTTATGACAACAAGCCAGTCATATTAATATTGATACATATAGTTGTATGTTCAATTAATGGATTGTGTCATTTTTATGGAACATGGGGACATGTGTTTTTCAGCCAGGGCTGATTTATGCTTATAATGGTTATAATAAAAGCTATGATTCAATGAAGTTGTTTTATCCTTCACTTTCAGTCAAATTCATAGAATAATGGCTGTCATGTTCTCATGTTTTAAATAACATCAAAATATAATATAATGATTGTAAAACTAATATTATCAAACTAAAGAAAAGATTATCTCTGCTCTCTGACGTATAAATGAATGATCACTATGATGTAGGGCCTCCTCACGTATCCTGCTCAGGGCCCCTGGATGAACAGACCTTTGTGAAATGAGTTTATAAAAGCTGGTCTGCAACAACAACACACACCTCATGATTCCAAATACCTCACCGTCATACATTGAACAAAGAGATTAGAAAAACAGTTTATAATAATCTGAGATTGTTGGAGTCATTTTCTAATGTGCAAGTACAGTTTTCACACACATCTGCACATGTGTAAAATAATGTGTGTACTATGACTGATCTCAGCACAGCTTGACAACACACTAGACGCAGACGTCTATGAAAAAGACAGAAACGATTAATGAGTCAAACTAGTTTTAAGAGACGAAACACTGGCGCCACCACAAGAGGGCAGTACATAACATGATGACTCTAAAGAACCAAACAGGACCGACACTGTTCTGAGATCAGATGTGAGGAGAGGTTTCACTTCGCTTTTCTTCTAATTGATGTCTGGTTTTAGCTTCAACGAGTCAAGCGCTGCACGCCACTGATTCCAGCCCAGGTTACTCAGTGATGTCAGTTTGTCAACAACAGAGCGTAGCCAACAGCAACATCTACAACATCTAAAGACTGAAGAAGCCCACAGCTTGAGGCAGTCAGATCTGTATTTGTAACTGAGATAAAAATGAACAGTCAACTGATCTTCACTTATATAGTATGTAACTTACAAGTTTCTTTGTATGCCCAGAGTTCGATGTTACATGTGTTGGGAGTGTGTGTAATGTCTCACACTGACCTGAGCCCAGGTTACTGTGGGACAGACAGGAGAGAGGTGGATTTGGGATTTAGTGGCTGATTACTTCCTCTCTGGTTAAAGGGGAATGACCTGGAAAATAAGCTGCTCTGTTGCTGTTGACCAGTTGGAAGACGAACCTGGACGCAAGCATCTGGTTGGTTGGACACGGACGTGCACAGAATTGTAGCATCAGAGAAATGGTAGCCATACATTATGTCTCCAGGATAATGCTTTGTCTTTCCTTGCCCCCTCTCACACTACCATGCGTCTAGTACCTGGACATATGGGACATTTCACTGCCGAATGAAAACATCATCATGAACTCATTCAGAAGCTCCACATGGAGCAGATTGCTTTAAAGCTGCTATTAAGGAAATAATGAAGCAGCTTGTTTGTTTGTTTTTCTCCAAATAAAAGATGATCTTCAGGGTGGTGGGACCAGCACTGGATTCTGAGTCATGGAAAAGGATCACACATTCAAAGACAGGTTTGGAGCTTTGGGGTCCACACTGACGAGGCCGTCCTCTGCGTCAACTGGGACAGATCTAAAGTCTGTACACTGTTCTGCCTCCATGGTAGAGGTCTTCAGGTAAACCCAAACCCCCCCCGACACAGGCTGGATCAGTCCTGTGTCTTCATAGACATGAAGAGGTTTGAATGAATGTGAGCATTTTAATTGGAGGTTTGATCGAAGCTGCCAGGACCTGACAACAGCAGCAGATTAGTCGACCGATAAACAGCAGAGCAAGTTAGTGACTTCTGGCGTGACGACAACCAAAGAGACTCCTCCCACAACCTGTCCACATGGTCCAGTGCTGATTAGACCAGATGCTTGTTGTTAAGACTAATGTACCATTTGTTTACCTGGTGCATTGAAACCAACACAATCTGCACTTCCATCTGAAGGTAAATAGTGTTGCCCTGATGGCGTAAGGCTTGAGGTGACAACCCTGAACCTGGTACTGGTTCATGTCCTTTCACGTCTCTCTACTGTCAACTCTCAGTCAAGGTAAAACCCAGAAATACCTTGAAAATAATGTCTTGAAGTTCACATTTGTTGAGTGAAATTGATTTTGTAACGCTGAATCTTCCTCAGTGTGCAGCCCAACCACGAAGAGGCAGGTGCACAGAATAAGAACAAACAAAGCACTGTCACTGAAGCGGAATATATTACATTATGTTCCAATATCTGTATTTTATTGTTGACATGTTTATGTTTAATTTATGTCTGTCTTGTAATATTATTAATGTATTTGACCCCTTTTAAATAATCCAACCAACCACACCTTGCAATCTGCTCTATGTGCTCCATTCTTATTACAGTGTTTGATTTGTTCCAATTCCCAGCACCCGACATTTGAGTGTTTGAGATTTAAAGTCAGTAAATATTCATCTGCATGACGAAAAATAAAGTGAAGTAAAATGTGAAATTAAAAAAAAAAGTTGTCTTTACTTTTTTACTCTCTTTATGTTTATCTTCACTTGCTGAAAATATGATCAAGTGTTATAATTAATACAATGGATACATTCTAGTCAAAAAACATATGTTTTGACTGAAAGTCACTGTTGAACAAAATGCAGCAAAAAATTGACTCAAGCTTCTTCTCACTCATTTAAAAATGTCATTATGAGATTCTATTCACGTTACAAAAAAATATTTTTCATGTTAGGACATGTATGTATTAACATTACACAAAAAATTATTTTAGCACAGAAACGTTTCAAAAATGTCACTGTAAATAAAAATCTCTTGCGAAGAGGTTGTATATTATTGCAGCATGAAAAATATCTTTTTATAAGGTGAAGAAGCTCCAGTGAAATCTGATCATAATGAGAAACTCTGCAGTTTTTTTGTCACAGCTGCAGCAACAGTCATATGTTCAGGTAAGTGAGGATAGGTTGTTATAGCTGAAGACCTCCACAAGAGCACTGATGATTGTGTGTGTGTGTGTGTGTGTGTGTGTGTGTGTTGGCACCATTTTTACAGCAGCTTTAGTTTTTATATTTCCTGTGCTGCTGATGCAGACACACGTCTGCTGCCGTCCTGTCTCTGGCTCTGTTCTGGACTGGTAGAGTGGTAGTTGAGGTGAGATGGTCCTGCAGGTTAGTGCGGTTAGTATATACCCAGGCTCTGCTAACAGTGTGGTCTCCTCTGTGCTGCCCTGCTGCGGCTGGGCTTCACTACGACAAGGCACTGGTAGACAGATGCTGAGGGAGGAGGTGTGGGACAGAGTCGGAGGGGGGAAAGATAATTCATCATCGCCCTGACACCCCCCCCCCTCCATCCTGCGCCAGGTGCAAGACCGTGTCCTTCTCCTCCAGTTTCGCGGTGTAGAAAATGCTCATACCTGCCGTCAGGAAGAAGAGCAGTGCCTGTCATGGCGCCCTGTGTGGCTGTCGCGTCAGGGCTGCAGAAGATGTGAGTTGGAGAGCGGCTGGTCCTGTGGAGTGTGGATGTGCAACTCGAACATAAACAGAAAGTCTGTATCCCTGAAGATCGTTTCAATGAGATTTGGCACACCATGGTACTACATTATTTTTGAGGGTGGGGTGGTTAACTGATCATAGTGGTCACAGTGTCCTGCAGTCTCCCAGGATCCACTCTTAATCTAGTAGATCCTTCATTGTGGGTACCTGCCATCAAACAACCAAGAGAGTTTTTGGAATTATGAAATGATACAAATATTTTTTTACAAAATATTGAAAATCTATCACTGTATGTGACAAACACTTTACCTGTGCAAAAAAGCTTCAATCTGACGGATGCTCCGGACACGATCTGTTCACTTTAAACCACTCGTCGATACATCTAGAAGACATATCGTACATTTACAGTGAAACTGGATCCACTTGATCTCCATCATGAACTTTTTGTGGATTCATACATTTTTTCCACTCACTTTTAAAACAGTTATAATATATAATATATATATATATATCTCATGCAAAGATCCAAAACCATATTGGAAAACAAAAGTAAAACATATTTCACTGTGGTAGAAATTATTTATTATTCTAATGCACCTGCAAGCTCCTCTTAACAAATATTCTATCAGCAATCAGTTTTTCTCCACCTATAAAACGTGCCACCTCTGTGTTGCAAGCATGGATCAAAGAGGCTGTTTGAGTAGAACAATAATTACACTTGCTGTTGATCCGCATTAAATGTACTTCTTAATGACTATATACCGTAGCTCCCACATGACAAAGACAGTTCAGGGACACATGAACTCCTGCACACCAGTATGCTGCTAAATAACATGTTCCACTAATATGACCTTTAACACATTAAACAAGTTCCTTCACCAAAAAAAAGCTTCTGTCGTAATGAATAAATATAATTTTACGCCTCATAACAAAACACCTTTAAATCAATCATTCAGAAGCTGCTGTGGAGGTGTGTTGGAGAATCACCTCATTAAATGTGCTGGAATAAAACTCATTTTATGACCCTGTGTGTCATAAAAGAAATAAAGTGATGCAGCATTTTCCTGAACTGAGCATCTTACCCTTTGTGGTAGATGCAGAGGCAGGGCAGGCGAGCGATGGTGTCTCCCTGCACCAGCTCATCCAGGCAGATCGCACATTCTCCTGCATCCTTAGTGAGGACGTCCTCTGTAAGACAACACACAAATCGCATCACAAAAATGATAGGATCCTTCATAAAGCAATACCTCTGTAAGAAAACACCTCAAATATATGTTAAATCTAGGATTGATCTAGTTCCACCTTTTGTACTTAAAATATATTTACATTGAGGGCTGTAGTTTGTTATTAATGGATGCATTAAAGTTCAGAGCAGTCTTTCTGCTACTTCCATTCATGTTCATATACCCATGTCTAATATACAGCCACCAGAACATACAATATAGACAAACAGAACAAAACGTCTATTATTACAGGTACACACTGTAATTGTTGAATAAGATGCAAATTTGATTTTTATCAATACTTGCCTACAGATACATACTGATAAAAACATCCTGCCAAATTAAAATACAGAATTCATGTTTTTATGAAAGATAAGAAACCAGATAAACAACCTTTTTAATTGAAATAAATACAAATAAATTTAAAATGTAGGCAAATTTAGAGGGATTACATTAAAACGCTCCATACATTACAGACATGACAAAACCTGTGTAAAATCACCAGTGTGACTCCACCGGCTTTTGTGTGTACTACTCATAAAACTATGTGTACTTGTACAGCAAATTGTTTAGTCTTGATGACCACTCAAAGTTCATTGCAGTGCATGCATGTGCAACATTTTCTCTATCATACTCATCACTTTAGGGTTCAGTATCTTGCCCAAGGCAGTACGGGGAATGGGGAAGAGTGGGATTAAACCACTGGTCTTCTGGTTAGTGGACGGCCCACTCTACTTCCACAGCCTACAGTACTTATATATGTATAGACATTAAATACTAGTAGTATTGTTAAATATTGGTATACATTATATTAAGCAATGTCTCTACTACTACCTCTTTATTTATATTATTTATGGGTGCCCAAAATTATAATTGTGATAATGCACCCCCCTCCAGGACTCTTTTCAGACACATTTCAGTCAAACACTGATACCAACTAATACTCCGGGCTGTTCTGACTCAGCATTGAGAATTTCACACATCTAAAACTCATCTTGTCTGAGAAATTGCAGAATAATGCATCTCCCTCTTGAGTTACTGAGTAATATTCTGGGTTGTTTTGAGTCATTATTGATAATTTCACACATCCAACACTCAAACTTTGAGTGGTTTTCCATTACACTTTTTAGATTTAGATTAGATATACTTTATTCATCCCACAACGGGGAAATTTACATGTTACAGCAGCAGAGAGAAAAGTGTAGTACACACTACAGAAATTAGGAGGTTGGAAAATTCCAACATCTGAGTTGTCTAGAATGCAGCATAAGCACTGTTCGGGTCCCTAGAAGCTCTGACTGGTGACGGTGTCTCCGGCAGGGTTATTATAGTTAACGAAAACTAAGACTAAAACTAAAACTAGCAATGAAAAAATAATTTAGTTAACTGGAAGAAAAAAAAAAACAATTACAAAAAAAACGAAAACTACAATGAACAATGCAAAACTAACTAAAACTAAACTGCAGATAAATTTAGCTTCGTTTTTGTTGTCGTTTCATGTTCTCCCTCGATTACTGCCTGATGATGATGATGGTTAAAGAATGAAATAAAGGACTTGACCATATTTGGTGTCACACATTGTTTCATCCTTTTTCAGCTTCTACAAGTCGAAGCTTTCTCTAAAAACCTGTAAAAACTAAAGCTAAGACTAAAACTAAATAAAAACTAAACTGAAACTAGTCGATTCCTCAAAATAAAAACTAAACTAAAACTACAAAATCACTTGTTGAACTAACTAAAACTAAACTGAAATAAAAAAGCAAACTGAAAAACTAAATAAAAATAAAAAGTAATGCAAATTTCAAAACAATAATAACCTTGGTCCACCGTTAACATGCAAAGTGAGAGCAGATTAGCGGGAGAGCATGGACATGCGGCAGGGCAGTACGGCACGATACAAGCACTCTATACATGCAATGTGCACCTGCCCTGATGCAGCGGCAACCATCCTGCAGCGGCAGGTCAGTATTGTCAGTATGGAGCTGGCAAATGTTTTATGCCAAGATAACAAAACAAGAATGTGTGTGTGTGTTTATGCATAAACACTGAGGAGTGTTCATTTTGCTCTGCTATGCACAGCATTGAACCAGGAAGTGAAAGTCATCATGTGCACCATTAAACCCATCACCTGCAGCACAACACATTCATTAGGACTGGCCTTATGTAACTGTGGATTAACCCACATAGGCCTGGAAAAGCCAGTTATTATGGGCTGTAGCACATGACATCCAGCTCAGCCGAGGAAAAACATCTTTAATATACGAACGGTGTCTGAAAGTCGTTCCCACGGTCGAATGACAGAGAGAAAGATGGGAGAGTTAAACTGATTTTTTTGTCTTGTTGCCAAATGTTTATATCAGAGGCTTAAGTTCACTGGTCTCCATCAGTACATACACATACAGTGAAATAGAGGAATCTGTTTCTTGTTTTTTAAGTTCACATGCATGTTCACAAATCATCGGTTCAGTTATTATGTACATTACTGTTACTTTACAATGTAGAATGACCACTCTTCAGTTATATGCCTCCACCAATCAGCAATTTCAGTCTACTATCTTTATCTAATCAGTTCATCTTTGAGTCCAAGTGACAACTGGTCATATTGAAAAGAACTTCCCTAAAGGCAGACTTGAAATCTCATGTTCAAAGAAGTCAAACACATGTCATGAAGTCACTGTGACCAAGACCTTTAACGTTTGACCATCGCAATCTTATCAGATTATCTTCAGGCCAAGTGAACATTTGTATCCGATATGTTGCGTTCACAAGACTGAGAAATTATTCTGTAGGGTCAAAGGGACCTTGGTATTTGAGAACATTCTGATCAGGTCATCCTTGAGTCTAAGTGAATGTTTGTGCCAGATGTTATTTCTTTTGGACATTCCGGATATATAACGTTCACAACTCAAAGTGAGGTCATGTGACCTTCACCTTTTGAGCTTTGACGACCAAAATCTAGTTACATCATCTTTTAAGCCCAAATGAATGTTTGTGAGAAATTTGAACAAATCTGAATCTTCTACCTCTGATATGAAGGGACTCAGCTTTGATTTACTTTGCAATGCATTATATAATTAAATTTGAATTAAAAACTTGATAACCAAGCCTTAGTTTTTCTGTCCCATGATGGTTTTCAGTTTAAGAGGTTCAGGTTTACTGGAATTGCGTGTGAAAATGGTCAAACATAGTCACAGATTTGTATTCGTCTGTCTGTGTCAGAGACGCACTTTCCTTTCTTGCAACAACCCTGATATTTGAAAAAAAATCAAGAGAATTTGATCTCTTTAAAGACAAACACTCAGAATCAGGTGCATTGAAGAGCAGCTTTTACTGCAGCAGGTTGACCTCTGCTCTCTCTGTCTGGGCTGTTTAATTTACAACAATGTCATCAGCCTGTTTCCCAGCAGCTTTAAATCAGAAACGAGGTCATGAAAATCTCAGGCTCTATTAGGCAGTTCTGTGGAGACACACAGAGACAGACCTTGTACCTTTGCTTTTGACAGATGGCTCCTTTTATGAAGTCATGAATGAAAAAGATTCATGTTTATATTGTGTATCTGTTCGGTTAACAGGTGACAAAAGTAGACACGTACATTAATCAAGAGTAAACACTGCTCAGTGTGGTGTTGTTTGAAAATGATTATTTGCTATGACTTTTGATAAAGTGCACATGGTGGTGAGTATGTGTTCTATTAGGAGCCTGTCCTTGGATGGCAGAAAGAAAACAAACATGCAAATTATAGAGTGTCTGCGTGAGAGAGAGAGAGTGTGTGTCAGTGTGTGTGTGTGTGTGTGTGTGTGTGTGTGTGTGTGTGTGTGTGTGCGTGTGAAGGATGCAGACAGTGGGAAACCCTGAGCAGCTGATTATCTTATTAGAATGGCCACGAACACAGAAGAGCAGCTGTGATCTCTGGACTCAGTGACCATGAAACACAAACACACAAACACACGCAGACTTCAATGACATGTTCAGCACATGTTTTAAGTTTCAGGGCAGCACTAACAGATCTGTGCTCTAAGTTTTGGATGTTATTATGCTAACATCGATAAATAGGGCTAAACGTGTAAGATGTTGCTGAGGAAGATGGGAAAGTCACCGGTTCAACAGATATGTGGTCATAAACCATAGTATTGGACTAAAGGTATCTCTATTCATCCTGAGGGGGAAATGACTTAACCAGACAATCCATGCAATAGTCAGAGGGTTACCAACATCATATGGATTTATTTTTAGAAAACTATAAATATTTGTGCAAAGTTTTGTGCCAATCCTTCAAGTAGCCACAAAGATATTTTATTGAATAAGTGAAAACGTTGATCTTTTTTTCTCCTGGATCCATATTCTTCATTCATATTTACAGTGTACTTATTATTTTATCACCATGATTGTCCATATCATGATGGAATAGGCTGAAATATAAAGATGTACAAGATGCCGGCTCTTTCCAAGTGAAGCATAGTAGAGGTCATAAATCTCACCTCCTCCATGTTAGTGAATGGGACATGGACCAAACAAAAAGTCAAAATACACAAATAACATTTTTCTCAAAGATGGTTTTGTCATTGTAGGTAGCCATTATCAAACTGGTGTATGTATAAGCAAGTTCCATTTTAATTAGTTATTTGATGCTGTGAAAAGAATGAAACATCACAATAGACGACTGAGACTGAGGCGATCGAGTGTGTAACAGCTACTGAAGTGTGAACTATGCAGACTCTGGATCCAAATGATAACAATGGCACAAGTTGGCAGTATTCTTAACCAGGATATTTATGGCTTCATTTTTCGATAGTGGGAGGAAGTGAAGATGTATCATCCATCTTAATATACGTGCTATGATTTGAACACACAGGATCTGTTTCATGTCAGTCCTGGAAGAGAGAGCTCTCCTCTGTTGCTGTTCCTGACAATTGCTCTTTGTTTTTCTCTGTGCTGTATTCTGGACAGACTGGAAAACATTTTGTGGCAGATCATACTGTGCATCAAAGTCTTAATTCCCATGTAGTGTTGTCACGATACCAAAATTATGGTTTCGATACCAGTACAAGTCATGAATTAGAAACAGAGAGAAAAAAAAGAGTCACTCTATCTGAGCCAGTGGCACCAGACTTCTGTTGTAAAAAAAAATGGGTTAGAAATATTATGTTGGTAAATTTGTCATAGCAGAGGGTTTAAATAGTTTGAGAGGATAATCCTGGGTTTGAGCTTCATCACCATGGAATGCCAGACTAATTGAAGTGTTTTTTTTCTTTGTTTGTATTCATGCATATAGGCTATATATGATTTTGATTATTGTAATGATCAAGATCATAACTTTACTAACATAAGAGAGAAAAAACACACTGCAGGTTCACTTACTGCTTGCATTTAAAAACGGAATAGCTGCGGAACACAGTACAGTAGTAGTTTTACCAGAAATCTCAGAAAGGTTGTAATTATATTAAAGGTGACATAAAGAACTTCAGGTGATGGGTAGTAGTCTTTCGTTCTCTTTCTCTCTCTCTCTCTAAGTGGCTAACTTCAAATTTGAATGCAGTTTTCATATCACCTTCTTCCGAGTGTCTCGATAGTTTGCTTTTGTTTTAGACACAGAATTGTCAGTTTCTTATTACAGTTTCATGTGTTTGCATGTGTGAGTTATATCGGAATGAGGAGTTTTACCGTTATACGTCACTCTGGGTTTGGTTAAACACAAAACCAGGTGAAGGTCCATCTCATCCGAGGCCACAAACTTGGAGCACACAGGGCACTTGAAGCCTGCACGAAAAAAGGAAAACACAAAAAACAGTTAAAAACAAAATTAGATCATCTATGGAGGGGTGGAAAACAACATTCAGAAAAAGAATTGCTTTATGATGTCCATTATTATAATGCAACACTTTACAATTTTAAAACAAATGGAATTAACCTGACTCGAACATATGTTAGAATCCATCCATCTATTAAGGGGCTCGATCCAGTCTGACATTGAGCGAGAGGCAGCCGGTCCATCTGAGATATAGAGCAATAACCATTCACACTGAGTCTTAATCAACCTAAGCTGCATGTTTTTGGACTGTGGGAGGAAGCTGGAGTATCTGCAGAAAACACACACAGACCAGGGCACCATAGAATCTCTATTTATAGATACTGTTAATTCACAAAACAATCATATCTCATGGAATATAACACTAGCACAAATGCAGTGTGGACATAATGTCTGCAATATAAAGAAGTGTTGTCATGTAGTTTGTTCTTTTATTACACATGATGCAGCAGACAGTCATGCATCTTTTCTAACAGCTGAATGAGGGTAGACAGCATGAAACATTGTATTAGTTGTGATTCATCTGTTTGTGGAGAAGAGAGACTGATGAACAACACTGTTAGTTCTTACAATTTTAAAAATAGCAACGGAAACTTTGTGATCTGCCCGTTCTGTCCAGATCTGCCATAAAATTTAATGAGTTCTTCAAGTCCTTTTGCCAAGTTTCAGAATCAAATCCATCAATGGATAGATGCAAAACATAAGCTCCTTGGCAAAGGTAATAAGGTTTTTAACATTGAACTTGTTAACAAACAGCCTTGTAATCAATTACAAATCATGGAAAAACCTACACACACATATATATATGAGTATTAAGGTAAAGTTTCCATTGCAACAACATTTTTGGTAAAAAGAAACATTACAGTAGAAATGTTTGACATGTGACTCCCCATACACACAAAGCTGTCAGCGCTTGGTGCAGCAGTATGTGCACTCAGATTAAAGTACACATCCTGGGTGAAGGAATAAAAGCTATCTTTACAAATGAGCATTAAAGTGAGTATTGTGCAATCAGGTTGTCTGTGCAAGTCGGCGAGTTTAGTGTGCTCAGGTTCCCAGTCAGACCCATCCCTTGCTTTTACTGAGATGGTCACTTGTGCAAAATAACCTAAAGGCTTAAAAGCAGCAGTTCACAACTGTAAAATAAAATCATTTTCTTTTTTGGTCATAGTTTGGTTATATATTCAAGAAAATATTATTGTTTCTGTTAAAGAGACCATCTCACTATATTAACCATGAGCAAAGGCTTTCTGGCAAAGAGCGTTGAAGGCCAACGTCTATGTGCATTTGAAAAACCAATAGGTTATGTCACAGTGAGTTGCTTTCTTGTGGCAGCAACTTCCAGTTAATGTAGAGTAAATTCAAGGTACTTATCCACAATGTTGAAAGTCTTGAATTCTCAGCAGAAAATTCCAGAAAGAAAGTTATTAAAAAGTTGTGTTTTCTCACCATTCAAACAAACAACAAGTCACCACCATTATGTGCTGACAGAAGCGTGGGAATCAAAAACGTTGATGAGCAGTATGATATAGTATTGAGTGCATCTTTTATGACCATTTATGGTTTCATAAAGAAGAACAACAAAGAGGAACCGCAATAACAAGACTCCATTGTATGAAGAAAGCTTCATGTGTACATTTGGATAGTATTTGCATAGTTGCATATGGACACTGTTGGACCACGTTCAAATCTCACCAACTAAAATAACAGATTTTTTTTATGTTGCTACAAACAGGGTTATCAGGTAAACTCAATGTTTTCTATACTTATCAGCCTATTTGGATTATGCTGAGAACTATATTTTTATAGTTTTATAATCACCAGGAAACTAGAAATTATCTGGAACTATATTCCTTTAAATCCTATTTTCTGGAATTAAACACTAACTCATCTTGGCATAGACCAATGTGACATGTAAGGTCCTGCTAAACAGCAACTGGCCAAAGCTTAACAATTGTTAACGCTGTTAAGCACAATTCTTCACAGCTTTCACTCTATATGCACCTTGTCTGCTGTCCATCAGATCTGCTGCTTGGAGAGCATCCCAGGGTTTCGCTTTCATTATTGAACTCAGCTCTCGTGCAACCCCTGAATCAGCACATCCAGGACTCCATGCTACTAAATAGGATTTATGAATCATCATTTTATCGATTAGTTCACTTATTATTAACCAGCCTATCTTCCCACTATCCTCCAGGTTTAGTCTATCACACAGACACAAACAAGCATATGCAGAAAAAAGAGCATTTAGCATCACTACAATCTTCTTTTCTTTTTTTCTTTCAAAAAAGGCTTGAAATTTCACAAGTTGAAAACTGGGAGTGATAAAGAGAGGGTCTTTCAGAGGGCACACATCCCCTTCCTCTCTGCAGTGCTCTACTCTCTGATGTGTGCTAACAGTGGGGGAAAGACAAACATTCCGGCTATCTGTTCTGCGGAAGAGGAAACTGAGTCAAAAGACAAGACAAAAAACGTCAGGACCAATGACTGTATATAAATATGGCAACATGACAGTCCCCCCCCCCCCCCCCAAAAAAAAACCCATTATGATTGTCCCCTTGTGGCTGACAACAGTGCAAGTTATTCAAACTCTGCCCCATCCATGTTATCAAATGGGACGTGGACCAAACAAAGAAAAATGTAAGTACTTTTTAATTAAATGTTTCGTCAAAGGTGGTTTCTGCCATTTTAGGTGGTTCACATCACACTGATCTTTGTGTTTATGTTTTCAATAAGTTTGGTTTTAATTAGTTAGTTGATGCTATAAACGCAGGGTGAAATGTTCATAATTGACAGCAGAGACTGATTCGTGATTGGTCAGGCAGATATTACAACATGGTGGCCTGTATCCTTGAGAAGGAAGTGGAGATGAGGCCTCCAACTTCATACGCAGCCATTGGTCAATAAGAGGAAGAACAAATAGGGAAGAGACATAACATGAATATGTTGTCTAAAGAAAGCTTTTGGGTGGTTTTGTTTCGGTTTTAAATTGCTAGATTTTGTGTGAATACTGTTGCATTCCTGCCACTGTCGCACAAGGAAGGAAATGTTCTCTGCAGATTAGTACTACCACATACTTCTAGTGGGTCATGATCATTTTAAATTAGTCCATAAATATTTTTAGGAAAATCTTGAAGACTATTTCTCTGAAATAGGAGCTGGAATTTTAACTTAAGTTAAGACAGTGAGTGTATCTATCCAATCACAACCGAAAGAGCCCAGAAACCAGCAGAGACAGCATCATCCAACATTTCCTCATCAGCCTTAAGAAATCTGTTCCCTCAGCAGAGAAGCCTTGCAACAGAGCCTTGTTGCTTGGCAACTGTTGCGTCCCAGGGATTGGCCCCTCACTGGGGAGCTGTGAGTGGAGTCAGCGCCGGACTGATTGGATCCAACTGAAAGGGGCCAACTATGAGAAATTTTTAAAAAATAGCCAAACTTTGTTTGTGATGTCTGTGTTAAGTGTTGATGCAAAATTGTACTTTGCATTGCTAATTGTACATCAAGAAACGTAGATAGTCCCTCAAAGCCATTCTGAATTCCTCACTTAATTTCGCTATATGAAGCAACCAGTTCATTTTGTCATTCAAATTTTCCCTTTTTGTAATTAATTGTTGAAAGATTTTTTTTTTCTTTTTTACAAAAAATTACATTTTTAGGTTAAAATTCTCATTTTTAAGAATATTTTACTTATCCTGTAATAGTAATATCATTGGCTTTTTGAAAACGATGAAACTTTTTTTTTCTATTTTATCTATATTATTCTTTAAATCAACAGAGTAATCAAATTGGCAGATATATTAGTTATCAATATATTCATTATTGCAGCCCCCCCCCTCCAATTCATTCTCAGTTGTAGCTACAGACTATGAACATCAATTAGTGAATCAGTGTTTTCTAGCGTTTTTAGCCAGTAACATAATTATAACTTTAGCTTGTCTCAAATGTTAAAAGCAGAACAGATTTAATCTGAAGAGATTTGATGAAGCAATCTCAATGATTCAGATTCTCTAAGTGGATTCCAAACAGGATCTGTGTCAACCCACGAGCAGAAAGCTGGGAAGCAGAGGCAGTGGAACTAGGTTGATGTTGACAACTGAGGGTCATCATATTGATATCTGAGTTGAGAAACGTTTGGCCTTCTAATGCTTGTATAATTCATATTACTGGCACCTGCACACCAAGGGACTTGGAGTGAGTAAAAGAGGAAGAAGAGTGAAGACGGAATAGGAAGGGGGGGCCTGAGAGGAGGACTATAAATAAAAATGCTTTTCAGCTGCTGGGAAAATGGGGTAAATGATGAGAGCCATTCCTTCTGTCAAGTTAATATACCCCAATCTTCTCCTTAGGTCACTCTCTTTCTCCATCTCTCCATCAGTAAATATTAGCATCACACACAAACAGCACCCTGAGGCAACAGGGGAAATACCAAAACATCTCACTCTAGTCAAAGGTGATTTTAGGTTATCTGGAAAAGAACACCTTCTGTAAACCAACAAGGTCACCTTTAAAGTCTATAAAACAAAAAAATAAACTGTTTCTAATTTTGATATAATGACCTTTACTACCATAGTATATTGAGTGTATTGAACAACATTATATTGTGGAGGTGTACGTTTTATTGTGGCCACTGTAGCTCAACACATATGATGTACTGAATATGGCATTAAATCACATTACATGATTACCAAACCTTTTTCTCTGTATGCTCTCTCTTCCTTTGCCTCTCTGTCAGTTAAAAGAAGTTTAAATATAAATATAATCATTAATACAATAAAATTCAGTGCTCTGTGCATACTCTGACTGTTGCCAGAATGGTTGGCCCACTGAGCTGTAGGCGGCTGACAGAATGGTGTAGCACTGGCACCTGACCAGCTTCCACCCAGCTATCCTTCTCTCTGCTCAAACCAGACTTCTTGTTTGAATAAGATGACAAGGAGGTGCAAAATGA